GAAAGTCAGCCAGAGATTATTCCAATTCATTTTCGAACGGCCGGTGTGCACTCGGTGTGACGCCTGGATTGATTTCGAACGCACTCTCTGCTGATACCCATTTTCTGATGTTTTCTACAATAAACTGAAACACTATTGTAAAATAGCTATTTATACAATAAGTTGCGAAATGAGTGTCTTTTAGGCACGCGACGTGAAAATTGTCCAACGAGGCAAAGCCGAGTTGGACAACACGTCGAGTGACTAAAAGATTTCGTTTCGTAACGTATTGTATACAAGATTTTTTCTACTGACGTTTCATAATAAAAAAACACAATTTTATTTCAATGTTTGTCGCCTGCTTTTGCTTGACACCTTTCATGTTGGTGACTAATATTCATAATAAATACAAAACAAAATTCAAATTTGCATTTAGTGTGTTTTTTATTTCTGAACAATGAATAACACTTTTAGGCACTAGTGCTTAAAAGTTACTTTTACGCACTTGAAAGTCGCTTTTACGCATTTGAAAGTCACTTTTACGCACTGGAAAGTCACTTTTACGCACTGAGTGCCTAAAAGTCACTTTTACGCACTGAGTGCTCAAAAGAATGTCATTTCAAAACTAAAATGACAATCGAAAAGTTGCTATTATGAAACGTCAGTAGAAAAAATAAATAAAAGTACGTTATCGTTGAAAAGCGAAACGTCAAAGTCGTCAAAAATGTCGGAAATATTGAAATAAGGGAAGTTTACTACCTCGCACTAATCATACACAAATAAAGACATGCAGTAACCTTATAAGGGGATCCTTATTTTCAGACCCAAATGCGCATGCGTAGATGTCAAAATAAGGCTAATTTAAATACTGCTTGTTCTTATTGCACGTCCAATAACTCTCTATTATCTCGACCGCTTGAACTTATAAAGCAGGATAAAACTTCAATGGACCTTTCTCATTTTACCTGTGCTGCGCGCGCATCTTGTGGGTGACAGATAATTAAATCGTCAATTTACTGAACACGGTCTGACCCTGACGTATTTAAGCTAACCTCAATAATCAATCAGTATCAATCAATAATGCTGAAAATTATTACAAAAACTGTTTATGATACAATGGTTCAAATGAGTTGAATGAGTTCTTGTCAGAATTAGGCGAAAAAAAAGTCAAACCTTTCTTTTCACAAGTTTCCAAGCAATCAAATTGTAAGAAAATAATAGTTACGTGCTCTCAACCCGAATGAAGACGATTTAGGTTGGGACAGAGATTTGAAGGTTCGTAAAATAACGATTTTTATATCAAATACAATAATAATGTACAATTAAAGGTTTGCTGCAAACATTTTTGCTGCGGTCGGTTTTCTTTCTAATTTATGTTAATACGTATTTTGTCATATTTACGTTTAAAAATAAACAAAAACAGAATCATAACCGAAATTGCACAATTTGACAAGTGGAACCAATCAAAGTCATTCCACACAGGTATCACGCGTCATTATATGTGTCTCTTTCTTTATTGCAAAAATCTAAATAAACTATCCTTGTTGTTCATTGCATGAGAAAGGTCCATTGTGATGTGACTGTGAAACGAAACACTTGACGTATGTACCAGAGGAGAGTGGCATAAAAGTAATACCGATCCTGCTTTATAAGTTCAAGCGGTCGAGATAATAGAGAGTTATTGGGACTATTAAATACTGCCTCGCAGTATCAAGGATCTACGTTATTTTATTAGTGCATCAGCACTATTTCTTCTAGAAAATATAGAGAGTTATTGGAACTATTAAATACTGCTTAGTTTACGTGAGTACCATAATTATGCTGTAATTAAATTTAATCTGAAAAAGGATCCTAAATACCAAATTTTCTGAACCGGAGGCAATCCAAACAAAAACCTCACTTCTTTTCTTCTTCGGTTATGGTTAGTGCAAAGGGTTATAAATTTCAAGAAGACTTACCTTTTTATTGCCAAAGTTGCTATCTCCCCTCCTCAATTGCACAAACCGGCACAAAAGAACTTTTTACGCGTCCACCAGTGTTTTAAAGGGAATTTTAAAACCAGAAAAGAAAAGAGTAATTTTGAAAGATTAAACTAGTTTATTTATAAGCGAGAAGAAAAGTAAGTGTTAATTATTTAGTGATAGAAAAAAAAGGTTAAGTAAAATATAAAAAAAACTAAAAAAATTACCTTATTTAATTAATAGACCATAAACAATTTTTAACTGAAGAAAAATTAAAGACAATTGGAAGAAAAGAGTAATTTCCCAATTAAAAGGTTTAGTTCCCAAATCTGATTCTTTATTGGAATTGAAATTAAAAAAAATAATAACTATCACCTCTTTGGAGAGCTTTTACTAAAACACTGGGCGGCAGATGAACTAGATGATGAGAAACGGATCGAGAACTCGTTGAGACTTTGCGACTTAAATTTCCGGCAATCACTCGTAGTAAAAACTAGTTGCGAATTGGCGATAACTGAAGTTATGTGGCCTCTACATCTGCTTAAATAAGCGAAAGGAACCACCCTCTGGGTACCACTTCAGAAGCCCATTGGCTCCTCTCAGTACCGGGCTTGCGAGAATCGAGGATCTCCAACCCTCTTAGCTTTCAGCGATTCGCTGAAAGTACCCTTTGGTTTCTTGCCGTGTTCCCATTGGTTCTCATATTGTTCATTCTATTTACACCCTTAGTGACATAGTTTGAAAGCCCTCCAACAGAGTTCACTAGTCATATGCGAAATATAATTTTGATAACTGAAATTACCGTTTTCCCTTTAATTGGAAAATCCTACGTTCTATATGCGTTCTTTTAACCTAGTCAAACAGTTTCTTTGTTTTATAATTATTATATACCGGGTATCTACGAGATCAGTTTCGCACTGGCATTTGCTGGTTTTTTTCTCGATGGCAAAGATTTTTGGTATGGAGTGTAGGTTTGAGAAATGTCATCTTTTGACATGTGTGTCAATGTTTGGTAACTTCCGGTTTGACCGGAAATGATCCTAACTCCGTAATTTTGAATAGCATCCCAATAATTTTTTCGCATTTTTGGTATCTACGGATCATGATGTGTACGAAAACGTCAAATTTGAACATTTTTGAAGAAATTTTAGACCTCTGGATGAAAATTTATTTTTGAACAGAAAGTGACGGACCGGTCCTAAAATTGTTATTTTCAACCCACACAATCGTAGAAAAATGCGAGTGCCAAGATGTTATCCTTTGCTTGCTCTCCAGAGGCATCCAAAGTTGAAAAAATCACATTTTGCGTGATAACTCAATAAAATCAGTGAAATCACCCAACTTTCACAACAAGAGTTTTTTACCTTTTTCAAAATAAAACCAACTATGCATTGAAATGCAAATAAAAAGTTTTAATGCATAGTTGGTTTTATTTTGAAAAAGGTAGAAAACATTTGTTATGAAAGTCGGGTGATTTCACTGATTTCATTGAGTTATCACGTAAAATGTGATTTTTTCAGCTTTGGAAGCCTTTGGAGAACAAGCATAGGAGAATACCTTGGTATTCGCATTTTTCCACGATTGTGTTGGTTGAAAATAACAATTTTAAGACCGCTCCGTCACTTCCTGTTCAAAAATAAATTTTCATCCAGAGTTCTGAAATTTCTTCAAAAACGTTCAAATTTGACGTTTTCGTACACATCATGATCCGCAGATACCAAAAATGTGAAAAAATTATTGGGATGCCATTCCAAATTACGGAGTTAGGACCATTTCCGGTCAAACCGGAAGTTACCAAACATTGACACACATGTCAAAAGATGACATTACTCAAACCTACACTCCATACCAAAAATCTTTGCCATCGAAAAAAAACTCACCAAATGCCAGCGCGAAACTGATCTCGTAGACACCCGGTATAGCTTTTAATATGACAGAGTTCATGATAATTATACAATAATTTTTTTAAGGTTCCATCTGAGTGCAAAATGCTTTAGACAGCAATAATATCCGAAAGAAAATATTAGTAAACTAATTTTATAAATGTTTCACATAGCACTAATAAAACAATTTTATAGATGTACGCAAACTAATGAACTAGTATCAGATAACACCAATATAAATCTAATATAAAACAGATTTGTTCGGTGAGCTAAAATGTCATATAAAATTATTGTGTAAACGTTTATAAAACAATATTAAAATTTGTCATTAAACTGTTTTGTATTTTTGCTCCAAGAACGTTCTTACGACTACCTTATAGAGCAGAATACTTCTTGGAAGCTTAATTATCTCGCTTGCAATTTTAATAAACCAAAATGGCGTTCGACGAGCAGTAATAAACTAATTATAGAATAAAATAGCAGCGGCCAGCGAGTTAAAAATTATAAAATATAATTGCTAGTTGAGGTGTGAAATGAATTAAATTATTCTATACTTAAATACTAATTTATGCCTAAAATAATTGGATAGTTAACTATCTCCTTTGATTTTCCTATTTTATACAATTTCGTGTTATTGTATCTTGGAAAATCTGGTCCCCGTAATTATTGTTTTAGCCCAAAACACACATGTTTCGAATATAAGTTCTTTGACATCTGGGTTCGCCATAAACCGGGAATTATCGTGCTTGAATACTTTATTACAAACATATGTCGTAATCCGGTGCAGCTGCAGATTAGAATCACATTTGGCGTTTATCTAGGAGAACACATAATTTTGCCTAATAAATTTGTCAATTTGGCTTATTTTTGACTTGAAAACTAATAAAACTTGATACATTTTGTTTTAAGTGTTTTCCCTCAATTCTCGACCAGATTAGTTACCGTTCCCAGACTCGCCATATGTTTGTAAAACCCATTAAGATAAATTTTTAACTATTTCTAAAAACTTGAACCGAGATTTGAAATTTATTAATTCTGTTACAAATTACCCTCCCCTTAAGTTCGAAGCATGTTTGTACACTTTAAAACAATAATCACTCCCAACCAAACCTCCAAGATATAACACCTTATCCCGACAATTATAAATACGTAATAAACGAGCGCACACACTCGCGAACTATGGGTCACGCGGATTAATTTTTTCGTTGTTCAATTTACAGTTGGGATCACTACACGGCGCGGTAGACTTCGGCAGTATTGGATAAAACGAACTGCTTGATTGTTCCTGGGGGGCGGTAGCATTAACTGACACTGGATTCAATTCATTCTTCTGGTCTTCTTCGTCCCGATCTCTTCTTTGGCTGGCTAACTGATACAAATATGTATGAGCTAAAGTATTCCACAGACTGGCTAAAAGGTATCGTCGGCGTCGTGGATGGTTAACTGTTGCTTCTTTGATGGTGAAATAGTTTGATACGACGCTGGCCAAATAACTAACGGCGCAAACTATGGTGTATAGGAACCCACAAATTGAAAATAAATTTCCCATTTTGGATAAAAATCCCCACACTTCCTCAGCAGCGGAATGTGCTAAATTGGTAAATTCGGTTTTGCTGAACAAATTTGGCATGTAATAAGGGTCTGAGCTATCGAGGGCCATGATCCTCCTGGCAACTTGATTAGTTACTGCTTTTCTGGTATTTGGATATAGGAGAGTTTGTTGGAAGCTTTCCATGTCTTCCTTGGAATAAATTCCATTGGAACTGATAGGGGAGATGGAAATACTTGGCATTGATAGTTTGTCTTCTTCATCATTGGCATGTAATTCTAAAGCGTCGGGGGTGCGCTTTAGGTCAGGTGTTACTTCTAACCAGTTATTTTCCAACTTGAAATTAACCAGAAGTAGTGGTTGACATTCTACTTTGGTTCCATGTTCAACTAGGATGTGAGTAATAGCATAGTGATCTATTCAGATAGGTAACGGGAAGTTCTTGATAACATTCTGAAGTCTTCCGATAGTCTACGACAACAGCTCTACATTTAGCAATATAGAGTACCTCTCCCATCACTCTACTAACATATCCTGAGGTTTCTTTTACCAGATTACCCACTGCGTCGGGCGATTGTTTTGCCATTGCTAATCTGTTCTGTAATATTTTCTCTCTCAAATGAAATCTCTTCATAATCGAGTCGTAGATGACATCAGCCATTTGTCTTTTTACTGCAATCTCCAAATACAAGAGTTTACTTAGTACTTGAGCCATCATGTCTGTATTTTGAGGAATTCGAATAGTACGATGGTAATACAATCCAACTGAATCCTCAAAAATTACAAGTAAGCCAAGCCTTTTGAGCACAAATTTCTTCTGGCTTTGTCAGTTTTAAAGCAAAAACTGTATCTTCGGTTTCCACAACGACGTATCTATTAGGTGGGTTTCGACTTAATACAAGGAGAGTAGCGTTTCCTTCGTATAGTACGTCGACACCACTTGTAGAGAATAAACTAGATAGATGTTGTTGTCATGTAACTTCGCCTTCAACATCATCAAAACAATAACCATCATTGTACGGACAGACACCACCAGACCGTAGGGTAACTAGATTTCGTACGACATCGGCAATCGCAACATAATCTTGGAGTTTAATGGATATTGCTGCAGTAACTACGACATTAGTATATTGGATGGAACCCATGGCGAATCTTACACCTTCGCATCGACCATTGGCGTCGGCAAAACCTTGAAGAGTTCTTCTGTGGTTCCATTTACATTAAGTTTGGAAATAACACCAGCTCCCATTCCTTGGAGATCTAACTGACGGAATCGGTGAGCCTTCAGACATTGTTCTGGTTCTATGTGCTGAATAAATTTTCCAAAACCTCCGGCTACGGTACTGCGATGACTATACATGCCGCAATGATCAATGAGTTGTTGGACAGTAACTTGACAGGTGAGTATGTGAATTGGTACATATTGTCGTTTTTGTACCAGCTGGATTCGTCTGAAGTTGGTCTCGGAAAAGTTACGCGGGTCTTGGCATGGTTTTACTGCACGCAAAGACACTTTTGTCAATTCGGTCGCTCGGTCGGCGCAATCATAAGCAATAATCTCTGGGCGTGCTGTCCTCAAGTAGTAGAGAAAAATCAAAACAAATTTTATGATTTTCATGTTTCCCTTCTTTCAAATCTAAAACATTCAAAAAAAAATAATTATATATGCTTAACCTAACCGTTTGAATTTGAATCTAAGATTTGAATACATATCGATACTGTCAGTCAACGACTACAATTCGGTATCCAGTTCTCCTAATCTATACTGATTTCTTGTGCGTCTAGCGATATTCCTCTATACAAATATCAAAAACTGACAACCACAAAACAATAAATACAACATTATTATAACATTTCTACCCTATCCCTATTTAAGTCTAATCCAAGGAGTCTAAAACATAATCTTCAAACCTTTTTGGTAACTGTCTTATTCGTTGAGGTCGAATTTGCTGTTCTAAAGGCTCCGGGTTTCGTATCTTTATAGAAACTGGAGCTACATCATCATTTTCCTCTCGATCTGCATCCAAGGACCTCATAGAATCATTTTCATGATTATCAATTATTTGGTTATCATCATCAACACCATCTCTTGAAATATTCGAAGATCTATTTAAGGGATCCGTTTCTGCTATATTTCTATTACTTTCAGTATTTTCATTTTCTAAGACTGACGACATTCTATCAGTTCTGTCTACATTCTCCTCACTTTCATCCGTCACAATTTCTTCTTCACTTTCACTTTCACAGTCTAAAGGAAAATAATTTTCCTTAATTCGATATTTTAGAGGAACATTTGCCAATTGATTGCTAGTTTCTTCCGTCGCTAAACATAATTTTAAACGGTTGACATGTACATTTTTTCTATGTTTTCCATGAACTTCTGTAATTTCTGCATTTACACCTGTTAGTTTACTGATTCTGTATGGTCCGGTCCATTTCTTTGCCAATTTCTTACTGATTCCAACTTTATCCGCTGGTTCGTATAAATAAACCTTATCACCTAGTTTAAATTTATGTGGAATTGCTTTCTTATTGAAGTTATCATGGTATCGCTGAGTATTTCTTTCTATATTATTTAATAGTTATTTATGATATAAGTGTTAAAAGTACATTTTTAAGGCACGCATGTGAAAGTTTGCAGAATGAGCGAAGCGAATTCTGCAATTCACATAAGTGCCTTAAAAATACTTTTAACACAAATATCATACAATATTTTTTCTACAAACGGCAATAAAAAGCAATAACCACTAACAAATTGGATTTTTAAATGAATAATAAATTGGAAGCATCTTTCCTACATAAAATTATTGAATTTGACATTTGTCAAAAAATCCATACAACCAGCACCTTGTTTTACAGGTAACGAAATGTCTTGTCAGTTTCTTGAAACTTGAAAGTATGTCGTGACTGGTCAGGAATGCTTTTTGCTAAAAATGCAACAAAATACAGAAGAAAAAGAGAGGTGCATCGATCCTTCGAAAAATATAGATGAGGCGGCCAATCGGGCTACCTCAGTTGTTCAAATTTCACCATTATTATCAATGTAAATAACTGAAAATACAAACTTTTTTTGACGTCCGCTCTCAAAATTTGATGTTTCACTTTTAACACTAGTGCTATAAAGACTTTATGGCACTAGTGCGATAAAGTAACATTTTTAATGCTTCGGGGCGGTGTTAAAAATTGCATTTTTAACACGTTTGTAGAAAAAGCATTTTTATGGGCAATTTTCATTCTTTGTAGAAATTCTGAAACATAATTTGTATCAGTATTGTACTTGACCCTTAAAGTTTTAAAAATCTCGTCAAACGGATATTCCATATCTCTGCCAAAAAGTAAAAAGAATGGACTTTCTTCTGTCGTGTTGTGAGTCGCTGAACAGTACGATGCAAGGGCAAAAGGTAACCATTCGTCCCAGTCTCGCTCAATATAATGTGATAACAAATCCTTCAGAGTTCTGTGAAATCTCTCTAAAGCACCATTGGTCTGCGGTCTATATGCAGTGGTTTTGAGATGATTAATTTGTAAATTCTCACAAACACTTTGCATCAATTTTGACTAAAGTTAGAGCCTAAATCTGTTAAAAGCTGATGTGGTGTTCCATGTCTTAGGATAATTCCTTTAATAAAAGCTTTTGCAACTGTTTCTGCTGTTTGATCTGGTAAAGGAAACGCTTCCACGTATTTTGTTAGTGCATCTTGAACTGTTAAAATATATTTGTTTCCCTGTAATGTAACAGGTAAAGGTCCTACCACATCCATAGCAATTCTCTAGAAAGGGTATTTGGGAATGGAAAATTTCTGTAGCGGGGCAGGTTTTTGATGACTGGATGTTTTCCGCCTTGCGCATGGATCGCAAGCATTGATATATCGACGAATGTCTTCGGTCATATTTGTCCAGTAGAAAAATTTTCTTATTCGTGCGTATGTTTTATCAAAACCCATATGTCCCGAAAAAGGCAAATCATGATAAAGTCGAGAAATATGTGGGATCAAATATTTAGGTGCTAAAAGTATATCATTGTTAGTTCTGTCATTAGAAACTTTGTAAACTAATCCGTCTAAGTCGACGTAGTAATCATTCCTTTTTCCTTGATTAATTTTTTCAATAAGGCTTTTAATATTTTTATCAGCGTATTGTTGTTTTTTAATTGTGTCTCTACACCATATGGGCTCGCACTCATTTTCCTGATGAATTAATCTAATTGGCTTGATTCGCGATAAAGCGTCTACATTTGTGTGTTTCTTCCCACACTTATATTCTATTTTGAAACTGTATTCTGATAAGGCTAAAGACCATCGCATGAGTCTATTACTTGGATCTTTTACTGACATAAGCCATTTTAGTTGTTGGTGATCTGTATAAACTGTGAATTCTTGTCCCCAAAGGTAGTTTCTATATTGTTTAATACCCCACAATAGAGCTGAACATTCTCTTTCAGTAGTGCAATAATTTTTTTCGGCTTTATTCAATTGTCTGCTTGCATATGCGACAGGATATTCTTGGCCTTCATATATTTGATGTAATATCGCGCCAATCGCGTAGCCAGAAGCATCTACTGACAAATAAAATGGTTTTGTAAGATCTGGATATTTAAGAATTGGTTGATTTATTAGCACTTTCTTTAAGTATTCAAAGGATTCTTCGCAATTTTCATCAAAATTAAATTTAACATTTTTCTTAGTTAGGTGTGTCAAAGCTGCGGAATATTTAGAAAAGTCAGGTATAAATCGTATGTAGTATCCAACTAACCCCAAAAATGATCTGATTTCTGTTATATTTATCGGTTTGGGATAATTTTTAACTATCTCCGTCTTCTTTGGACAAGGTCTTATTCCATTTTTAGATATTATATGACCTAGGTAAGGTGTTTCGTCTTTGGCAATTACACATTTCTCTGGATTGAGCGTTAATCCAGCTTCTCTTAAACTTCAAAAATTTCCTTTAATCGAGATATATCTATATCAATATTTCCTGATGAAAATATTATAATATCATCCAAGTATACGTAGGAATGTATCCCAATAAACTTGGAAAGAATACACATCATTAATCGTTGCCAGGTAGCTGGTGAATTCACTAATCCAAAAGGCATTCTGTTGCATTCATAATGTCCCCAAGGAACGGAAAATGCCGTTTTTTCACGATCTGTTGGCTCTACTTCTACCTGCCAATATCCTTTCGTCATATCGAGAGTGGAGAACATTTCCGCGCCTCCTAAAGAATCTATAGTGTCCTGGATATGTGGAATTGGAAAAATATCTCGTTTCGTAATAGAATTCAATTTGCGGAAGTCAATGCAGAATCTAAATTTCTTTTGTCCATCTAGGCTTTTCTTTTCCACTAAAACTACTGGTGCACTCCACGGTGATATAGAAGGTCTAATTATGTCTTGTTCCAACATTTCTTTTATTTGTTTATCCATTTCTTCTCTCATAGCATAAGGTATTCTGTACGGAGCTTGTCTAATTGGCAAATGATCCCCTGTATTGATCTTATGAGTAACCATTTGTGTAGCTTTCAATGACGTATTATCCTTTGCAAAAATATCAGAATAACTCTGTAAAAATTGCATCATCTTACTCTTATCCCCTCCTTTTAAATGAGAAACCATATTCTCCACAATATGGCCTTCATAACAACTTGTATGAATTTCAGTAAACTTTTCAATGACATAATCCGTTCCATCCGCTCCACAGAGAGCATCCGCGGTGGAACATTCTTTCAGCCTAGTCACATCCACCAAATTTAAAATGGGCGTGTTTTTATAAATGGTCTGCGGTATTGGAGAAGTATTCAGAATACGAACTACTATATTTCTATTTTCTTTTGTTGAATTTTCAGGAATTTCTATTACACTACACGCGGTAAGAATATCGACATCTGTATGATTTAATGGTTCACAGACTTTAATGCCTGCAGGGACCCGGGTGTTTACAGGTATATTAAAATCGCAACCGTGAAAAGCAGGTATTTCCAAGTTTTCACGCAATTTTACTACATGTGGTCCTTTAGATGTATGACCACAATTGGAGAATTGCGCATTTCCTCCTGTATCAAACTGGCGAAATTCATTACTATTTTCTATCTCAGTGTAGTTCGTAAACTGTTTCAGTCTATTATCAATCTGGTGAGTTTCAGGATTTTCGTTAAGATACCCTGTATCTTTCCTATCTTCCTTACTACTCAAAACTATTGGTGGATCAGTCAACTCACACTTATTTTTCCCGTTTCTAGAGGTTGGTACCCATTTCCCTTTAAATAAATCCACCACGGCCTCACTGCCAGTGGATTTAGTCTCTCTAAAACCATTTACATTAACAAAATTATTTTCAATAACATAATCATTTTCAATACTCCGGCGACCTCTATAAACGACCTCTGTGCCCCGATTCGTTTTCACAGTAAAAATAGTTACCACTTCTTTTGTGATACACGGAGCGTCAACTGCATTACAGCTCTGTACAGCCGCACTGTGACGTCGTTCTGAAAGTTCATTTAACAAGGCCAATCTATAACCATACATATTCATTTCATTCGCATTAAAATCGATCACTGGTTGATAATTCTCTAAAAAATCCATACCCAATAATCCATCTGTCGAAAAACTTAACTCAT